TTATTTAAAATTAGCTAATTAATTTTAATGACATAACCAAGATTCCTTTGGAGGAAAGAATACGCTCGACTGAAAGGAGATGTTTAAAGTAGCTCGACTGAAATGATAGAAAAGTTGAGTGGAAAGAACGCGGGAGTTAGCACCATTTATATGAGTCTTGTCGCGAAGAGACAACTCCCCTCTAGATTCAGGAATAGCGACATATACTAAAAGTCCTATCCAACCCAAAGAACTTTCGCCGAATAGTCCTGACAAATTGCTTTAATAAAAATAATAATAATAACAATAATAATAATAATAATAATAATAATAATAATAATAATAATAATAATAATAATTTTCAGCCAATTAGTTTGTCACAATCTCTCAAAAGTATTAAATTATATTATTTATTGCAATTTATGTAAATATAGTGATTCATATGTAATTTATACAATTTATGTTTATATTTTTCATTTGTACTGAATGTCAAAAGTTTAAAATGTGATGCACTCATAATTTATAGCATTAAATGTTAATATGCATATATATAATATTTTAATTGTATTTGTGCATGGGAACCGGAATGTATTACATCTAACGGCAATCATAATTAGCGAAATGTTTATACTTAATGAAACTTTTGAAAATTTGAGCGGTATATGGACTATAGGGTCTAATGTAAGCCCGCTCTTTATGGATTTGGATTCGATCTTTACGGCATGCTTTTATACAAATATATCCTCTCAAACTGAGTTATTTTTTGGTAACTGGAGTTAATTTTAAAAAAAAGTGGTATAATTAGCTGTTTATGGAATTTTGAGTATATATTAAAATAAAATAATTAAAACTTGATTTGATATAAAAGTAGGAAAAAAATTATATGAAGTGATGATTAGTTAAAATTATATGAGTGGATGAATAGTGAATTAAAATTAATGAGATATGTAAGAATGATTGACTGGTATTATTTAATTATATTAAAAATATTGAGAATAGTATAATTAAGTTATAGTTAAGTTAGATTTTAAGTATGATTGAGAAAATTTATAAACATCTATCGCTCTATATAATTCGTATAAAAATAGCATCTCTCCATATAATTTTCATAAAAAATTGTTAGAGTTTAATGTAAGAGTTTATTTTATTTTATTCCTTTTTATGTAAAGGTTACACAAATCTCTGCATTTAACAAACACTATCAATACACCTAATTTATTTTGTATTAGATGAGATGGTACCACCTAACTTTTTTATTAAGGTCACAACACTACACCCAACAGGTAAGTAGAAGACATGCAACCACCAGTAGTGTCGACTTCAAAGAAAGTCGCCCATAAATAGTCTCTGTTCTTAAGCTAAAATCATTCAAGCTGACAAAAATGGTGGTTAAAGTGTACGGCCCAGCCTATGCAGCTTGCCCACAAAGGGTTTTGGCTTGTCTTCTCGAGCTGGACTTGGAATTTGAGCTAATTCCAGTCGACCTCGTATCTGGAGAACAGAAAAAACCCGATTTCCTACTGAGACAGGTGACTATATATAGTTTTCTCTTATCCATGTTATTGTTCTAATTTTGTGTGCTAATTCGTATGTTTTTATAACAAGCGAGGGTATCCTAATGGTTAGGCAAATCGATACATCATGATTTTTAAACAGAACTTGCATATTTATACTTAATTTGAAATGTTGTTTATTTGTATTTGTTGTTTTTAAGAGTATGACATTTGATTTTGGATGTACGCATCTGTACAGAAACATATAATTGTCTAACACTAGGCACTAAGGTTATGTAATTTATGTCATTTGCGTAATAATAACCATTTTATTAATTAATGTCACTAATTTGCAGCCCTTTGGTCAAGTTCCAGCCATAGAGGATGGTGATTTCAGACTTTTCGGTAACTGATTAGATAATTTTCAAATTCCAATCACTTATTAAGGGCACTTTTGGGATAGATTAGTTTCCTTTATTTCTAAATTGGAGTCTTATTGAGGAAATAATGGGTTTTGGAAGTGTGACAATTAAAGTTTTGTGGAGCCACTAATAAAAAGTTAGTTCTATACTTAACATTTTATTACCAATAGTAAGTTACTTTAACACCCTTCACAATTTTGGCAATGCCTTTCCTCATAAGGCTAATATTGTCTTTTGACACAAAACAAAGAGGAATTTGGGCCTCATGTACTATCACCAATTTTGTGGCATTTTTTACTCGGCCCAAGATTTTAAACGGGGTCTTCTGATTCTTTCCAAATGCATAAGATAGCATTAGTTGTCTTTTCCCTTTATTTCCCTACTAATCCATCATCCCAAAAGAATCCAAAGACTGAAATAATTCTTTCTTGATGTTTACTATTTTTCTCTATAACTTTTTTTTTTAAAAAAAAAATTTGAGGACAGAATCTAGGGCAATAATCAGGTACTACGCAGCAAAATGCGCAAGTAATGGTGGAACAAACCTTTTGGGAAACACATTGGAAGAGACTGCCCTAGTGGACCAATGGCTCGAAATAGAAGTCAACAATTACAATCCCCTAATTTACACAATGGTCCTCCAACTTTTGGTTTTGCCCCGCATGGGCCAAAAGGGCAACATGGAGTTAGTCCACAACTGCAGGGGCAAATTGGAGAGAGTACTCGACGTGTACGAGGAGAGGTTGTCGAGGAGCAAGTACTTGGCTGGGGACAGGTTCACCCTAGCTGACCTGAGTCACTTGTCTAACACAAGGTTCTTAATGGAAGAAGGGGGAATGAAGGATTTGATCCAACGGAGGAAAAACGTGTATTCCTGGTGGCTCGATATTTCAAACCGAGTATCTTGGAAGAAAGTGATTGGGCTCGTTAAATGAAGAAAAGTCTATAAGCAATGCTTTATTTAATGGATGAGTATGAAAATAATTTATTTTAAGAATAAAAGTTGAATTTTTTCGACCATTTAACAAGGTAGTCTGGGGTTTAATTTTGATGGATCTATATGTATATACTCGTTTGATTTCTCTATAAATATCAGTGTTTAATCTTAGCCTGGGAATCGGCCCTACAAGTCTATGGGTCATCGAATCAATTGATGAACCGAATAATTAATTTTAAAATTTTAAATTATAAATGTAAAATTTTTATTATATAAATATACATAAAAGTAATAGAAATAATTTTGTACATGACAGTATTAATAATATTGTATTTTTATAATAAATCTTTACCATATAAATATTCATACATACTTTTTATTTATAATATAAAAATATTCTAGAAAAAAAAAAAAAAATAAGGGGTCGATGCCCGGGTTGACTGGGTCCGAAGTCACCTAGTTCGAAGTACCCACACAGGTTTGGCCGGATCTTGGGTGACTTGGGGTCGAAAAACAATTTTTTAAATGTATGAGTGGCCGTGGACACTATAGTTGGGTACAAAGGCATAAGTATCCGAAACAACAATTTTTTTTGCACAAGTTTGCATTTTTCTTCCATTTTTTCGTGGACATCAGCTGATTTCTTACGATTCTGAGCACAATCACCTTTAAAATCGGATGGTGTGTTAGTAACATATGAATTCATACTTGTTTTAGCCAATACAAGCTTCAGATCTCAGATTTTTCTCAGACACTCATTGATGGAAGAAATATTGTGTTGCGTGAATTCGAAGATTACCTGTTATCTTACCAATTGCAATTTGAGCCAGAGATCACGCCGAAGGATTTCTTTCCACGTAAATGAACCATTGAAATCTGTATCCCAAAAACGGCCAATCCCGTTTTATTGCGTTCAAAACTCTGATGTCTCGTTCAATTGTAAATGCCGGTCGTATAAAAATAAAAGTATTTTATCACTCGTTATAATGAGTGTCCAAGAGAGTTTGACACGTAGGGGGGTAATTTTCTCATGAACATTTTGATGCTTATATGGAGCCCATTAATGATTTAAAGGTACAAAAGTATAAGTATATGCACATTTTGATGCTTATATGGAACCCAGTAATGCTTATATGCACCATGGTCTTATAAGTATAAGTCTCCAATCACTACTAGTACGTAGCCTGTGCGATGTACGAAACATAAGTATTAAATGAGTCATTTCCACATAGCTTGTCCGTTCAGTAGCTCGCGCGATTCACATGAGATATTAAATGAGTGGACAATAGGGCTTGTCAGTTCAAGCCTAAAAAATAATAGAGTTTGGTCATCTATTTTTTTACCTCCTTCATATATGTAATTTATAGAAAGTTTGTTAAATGCAAATTAATCATAAATAAAATGCACAATATATTGTGTATATTCACATTAAATATAACTGCTATGCGAGCGCACAATAGTGCGATGAGAGTGCACAATAGTGTTATGTGAAATGTACATTAATGACTGATACACTGCATAATAGTGGACGACACCGATTAAACTAAATTTTTGGTTCGTATTTTTATAGGTTGGTTCTATTATCTATTTTAATTTTAAAAATTTGGTGACCTCAGTTAGATGTCGTCTTTACTTTTTAAAATAATATAACCAATCGAACTATATAAAAAATTATAATTTTTTTATAATTTATACATACATATTAGAAATTTTCACCCAAAACATAAAAATAAAATACAAAATAAAAGTATTAAAATATTAAATATATTTCATGACATAAATTATAAATCATTTCGATTGTTTAGTTTAACTCGCTTAATCGAACAAATAACCCGATTATTGCAGATCGGTTTTAGCCTGATTTTTAAACAAATTATTAAAATTATAGCAATACGGGTGTACATTAGTGTAAGACAAGTTGCACATTAATTAGTTCCAGATTGCACAATATAACAGCCAAAATTGCTCAAAGTAAAATTTTTTATTCGGATTCTTATAGTTCGGTTCGATTATATGTGTTCACTTTTTAAAATTTTGGATATTTTAGTTTTGGCTTTACATTTTAAAAAATAACCAAAATAAAATAAAATAAAACAGTCGGCCGAACTATATAAAATAATATTATTTTTTTATATATATATTTTAAATTACAAATATTATTATTTTCCACCAAGAACATAATATAAAAATATTAAATATAAATATTATAGTACTAATTATGCTTTTTTAATATAATTAATATTTTATTTTAGCTATTTTGGTTAATTCAATTAACCAATCAAATAGATCAATAAATTCAGTACGATTTTAATTTGGGTTGAAACAAAAAAGTTCGGTCGTATCATACTGCACGACAGCGACCGCAAATCTTGTACAATAGTGTTATACAAATCGCACATTAATGATTGCCAAATTGTATATCATTGACCAGAACTGATCGAACTAAAATATTTGGTTCGAATATTATATTTCAGTTCGATGATATATTTTTACTTTTAAAATCTCTGTTACTTCGGCTCGTGACCAAACCGACCAAACTATATAAAAGAAATATTACTTTTTTGTAGTTTTTTAATTAAAAAATTTATTTATTTATTAGCCAAAAAACATATTAAAAATCAAATAAAAATACTTAAATAAAATATTATTAATAAAAATACTAAATATACTTTTTATAATATAAATAATATTTTATTGAAGTTATTATGGTTATTCGATTAATCGATCGAATAAACCAAGTAATTTGGTTCAACATTAACAAAAGTTCGGTCAGTTCAGATTGCACAATAGACACTGAAATATCACATGTCAATTCAGATTGCACAATAGACAATGAAATATTGCATAATAGTCTTAGACGAATTGCACATTAATATCTGTCAGATTGCACAATATAGACCGAACCGACCAACCGACAATGTTTTGTTCGAAATATTTATATGTCGGTTCAATTACATGTTCTTACTTTTAAAATTTTTACTATTTCGATTTATATCATTAATGTGCATTCATTTCACCTTTATTAAATTACACATTTGTCTCATGTAATAAAATGCAACAAATTTGTAGTTATAAAATTGTAAATAAGTCCTAATGAATTATCAAATTTTCCAAGCAAAGTCTCCTATCCACAAAATTGTTCCTGGACATCTTAACTCGCAGCTCGCCGGCATCGGACGGCCTGCAAAGTCGCCGGAATTTCTCGACTAAAATGCTGCGGCCAGACATGACTCAAAACTGCCTGCGAGAAAAAGTTACCATGGCCGGAGCTACATTCTAGCCGGAGCACGTGGACGTGCACGACGGACTGCAGACGACTTGGATTATTTTCTCCGTTGATTCTCCGCCGGAATTACAGAATTTCAACCTTGGCCAATGAGGCTCCGGCGGCAGCTAATCGTGCGTGAAGACGACAGCGGTAGGTGGTTGCAGTGGGCCGCGGGAGGCAGGAGACAGATGGCTGCGGCCGAAGAAGGAGCTGAACATGCTGATGGCTCTGTGTGTGTGCGTGTGTGTGTGTGTGTGTTTTGTGTTACTGTGTGTGTTTGGTGTGACTGTGAGAGAGATAAAGAGAGTAAATGAGGTTATCCCTACTTATGGTCAAATATGTATATTTGACCACAATGTGTATGTTAAATTACTATATTGCCATTAATGATTGACCTAATTTTGATTTAATCTTAACCATTGATATAATGTATCCAATGATCTAGATTTTTTCTCATTTCTTTCAATATCTTTCTTTCTCATTTCATCCTAGTTCTATATATATGACTTTATGTAATAAAATAACTCACCACTTACTTACTTAGTGCTTAACTCATAAGGACAGTAACTCAGCACTCACTCCCAATGCTT